ACAGGTTTAAACATCCCAAAAATTCCAGAATCTGTCCAGCGAGCTACGGATGGATCATGCATGAAGAAACTTTCTGTTTTCATTTTATTTTCTCGGTTAAAACATGCTATTAAACTCTCAACTTCCTCATGCAATTACTTAGCTAAACAATGAACATTTCCAGTTCAAGAGTTGAATTTAAACCATGATTACAAACCCCAAAATTTCCAGGTTTAAACCTCACGGCTTTTTCTCAAAATTTCCAGCAATAACAATGGTTCTAAAACAAGATTTTCTTTGGTTAAACAGAGTTTTAAGTACTCCATTAGGACATGCAAACACGTATCTAGCTAGTAAAGATTTCCATATCAAATCCAGATTCAAACAACAATTATACTCATCTAAAACAAATCCAGAAATTCTGTTTAGCTTGGCCTCGATCGAACATACGTGTAGCAGATTTCTAATTCATTTTATTTTTCTGATTTAAACCCATTAATTATCTACATGCACAGCTCAATTATCATGTTATTAACTAGTTAATCATGGTTACAAACTCAAAACAACAAAATTGAATCAAATGAAGCTGTAAAATACAGGACAAGCTCTCGGCTGCAACAATTCATAAAAACAGAATTTCTTATGTTTCTTGATTCATCATCCGGCTGCACAGAGTTAACATGCAAGGCCTTAATCATATTAACCATCCAAGTTTAAGTTAGCTAATCATAATTTCAAGTTCTGATTACCACAACAAAGCAGATTACATCATGCATTTCTTAATCGATTCTCGGCCAACCATTTTCTTTTTCAAAACAGAATTTTTCTGGTGTCCTGGTTTCATCAACCGACTTCACAAGCAACACATGCAGCTCTGATATGGCTTCATCTACTAAAAGTTAGCTTAATATAGCCCAGCAATTACCTCAGAAACAACTTAGCTCACGCACAAGAAATCTGAAAAGAAAAATTCTGTTCTCCCTCTCGGCTCTCGGCTCGCTTGTGGCTGCAGGTTGGTTGCTGCTGTGATGGTGTTGGGTTCTGAGGTTGTTTTGTAGCTGGTTGAGGTTGCAGCAAGGGATAAAGCTCACGTAGCCTCCCTCCTTTCTCCTCTTTAGCTTACGGACAGAACGGACAGGTTGCAGCTCGCGCGATTTCCTTTCTTTCTTTCCTTTCGGATGCACGGATGCAGCTCCCTCTCTAGCTCTCTCATCGATGATAACAAGGCAGAGGAGAATGTTGTTGTGGTCTTGAGGTGTGGTGGTGTGGGAGGAAATGGAAATGAGCTACGGATGAGAGAGTTGAGTGTGCAAGTGGAGAAGTTTTCTCATTGGCCGAATGGAGAGGTGGATTATAAGGTTGTCCGACAATTTGGTTTTGGAATTGCATGGTGATTTTTGGAGTAGTTCAAGGGTGGTTTAGTCCTTTCACGTCTCTTCCTCATCTCCACTCAAAACCTTAGTTCTAACTTAATTCCAAAAAATTATCCCCAAGTGTGATTTGATTGCCTAATTATACACTAGTCATGCAAAACTTTAATTATCGAAATTTTCACGCCTTAGGTATGTTTAGTATACTTGCATAAGGTTTATCTAAAATTTCATTGATTCGTCTTAACGTGAAAAATTCCTTTTAACATTATTACCTAATTATTTAAACTATTAAATCAAGTTTGACCTTAATATATAAATTTAACGTTCTTAATATTCGTTTATCCATTTATATCAAAATTTATTAACTGAATCATTATTAACGCTTAAGATTAGCTATCGGAATTCGAAGAAATTATTTGTTAAATCAATGAAATAATTTACCTTCGAAATATGAATTTAATGAAACAAAACTAGAAATTTAATAGTTTAGCACAATTCTTTTATTTTGCACATAAAATTTATTGGTTTTGGTCTTAACGTGAAAATTCTTATTAGTAATTAACGTTATTCACTAATTAGGATTAATTATTGGAATTCAAGAAATTTTATATAATTAATCTACTCAGGTAGCATTAATTTTTAACATAAAGAAAACTAAGTATTTTAGCATTTTATTTTAAGGCGATAAATTATTCTAACTCCAGATGTATTAATTTAGTCTAGCAAAGTCAAGAAAATTCATAACTTGGGAAAATTATATTATTTCTCACATAAAATTGTTTTTACGGACTTATTTGCAGACAAGGGAAATTAATGCTAAAATTTATTAAAGAGTTAAAAGAAATGCAATTGAACTACAAAATGATATTTATATATATATTTTTCAGGGTTCTCACACCCACACCATCCTATCTCGGTGTGTAGAAAAAATATCAGGAGGGCGTATTTGCATAATCCTAGAAACAATGCTATCAGGTAGCCATTGATGAAGCATCGAAACGTTCCAGCTCCCATTCAACACGAAGTCCGCTACGGCGTGATCACCAAAATTCTCAACCTGTTGACACAACGACCCTGCACCCATCCAATTCTCATGCCAAAAGTCCACCATTCCATTCTGCAACACCTACTGGATATGGGAATCTGCCAGAGCCTGGCACCTGACCAGCCTCCTCCAGGTTGGAGATTGAAAGCGCTGAAGTTCCGCTTCACACGCATGACCGCCATGGAGGTATTTAGAGTGCATAAATTCTGCCCAGAGGGATAAACATTGCCTGAGGGACCACCATAGCTTCACTGAAAATGTCTCCAACACATCCGCCAGGGACCGCACGCCGATCCTCCCTTCATCAAGCGGTTTGCACATAGTCTCCCATCTAATCCAATGGTAGCGATTACCCCCTCAGACCTTCCCAAAGGAAATTTGCAAAAACCTTCTCGAGGGTATGAAGCACACCCTTTGGAGGATCCGTGACAGCAAGGATGTGTAGAGGCAACGACGACAAAACACTCCTGATTAAAACCAAACGCCCACCAGGCGACAATAACTTTTCCTTCCACGATAGAACCCGCTTTGCAACTGAGGAGCAGATGTCCAAGAAGTAGCTACATCTCCGTCTTCCGGAATGGAGAGTACATCCAAGATACTTAAGTGGGAGGGACTTCGCCTGAAAACCAGAAACTTGTGACACCACACGTCGTCGACGAGCAGGGCTCAACTTATCATGAGTAACAAAGCAACTCTTCAGACAATTTACCTGCTGCCCAGACATACTACAATACATCCCCAATACCCTCATAACATGCCGCAAAGTACTCTTAACCCCGCTACAAAAAATTCTTAAATACCCGTCACAGAGCCAAGAATTCTGTTTTTTGTGGCAGGGGGCACTTTATGTATAAAGAATTATCACTTTCAAGTGTAATTCTTAAATTATGGCCATTTTTTTGTCCTAAAAAATGTTTGGGTGGCTGATTTGACACCGGTCACTACCATTCTTCTATTTATTTGTTGAATTAAGTATCCAAATTTGATATTTGATGCAACTCGAAGTAAAAAATAAAAAAATTAAATCAAATTTATATGTCAACAAGTCGATTCCTTCCCCCCCCCCCCAAATTGTGGAAACACCCCCTATTTTTCACATTGCCACCTTAAGATTTTGAAAATTCCTCATCTCTTATTACATTGCCGTTTCTAAATGCCAATATCTTTCAAACTCTCTCTTTTGATACAATTTTTTTCCTATTATTAAACCAAAAAATTGATAAGATGAAAGCAAAAAAAAATTTAAACAAGTACATTATATATAATTTTAAAATGAATAATAATGATCCTATATAATCTTAACTCCACTGGCCACAACTCTTGGCTCTAGCATTTTCACTAATTGAAATGTGAGTTACTACTCAATTTTTCATCCTCTTGTTGTTACAGTCTTAAGAACAAAAAAAAAATTACTATTCATTTTTTTTTCTAAAAAGCATAATTTGAGTGTTCTCTAATCCAAATTTGAGATGGAATCATTTATCAAAAATGTAAATGAAAAATATGCATATATTATTGCTAATTAGATATATATTGGTTTTATATGTTCAAGAAAAGAACTTTAGAAAATATACAAACTTAATTATTAGCTTCAAATTCATATATAACAGATCATATGCATTCAGGACAAAGTACTTAATTTAAAATTTCATAGATCAAGAAGTTAAATAATAAATTGAAATGTGTATATAGTGTAGTTTTGAACAATTTTTTTCTTGAAATAATAGAAAAAAATTTTACCAAGTCAACATGCAGTGCTAATACAATTAATGACAAATTGAACTTCGTAGTTTGAAATTTTCATAAATCGAAAGTTAGGTGGAGAGGAGCAATGGAATTCTATCAAAATCTAAGGGCACAAGAGAAGTATTTTCGATAAAAATTTTCAAACTTTCCTAGGGAAAATAAAATAGATTCTCGAAACTTCCCCGGGCGCTTGGGGAAAGCATGCATAATTGCTGTTTCACATTTCGATTACATATATTAAATGTAAGGCTAAACTATACTCCCTCCCTTTTTTTATAACTGACGTTTAAGGTTTTGCACACCAATTAAGAAAAGTTTTTCATTGTTTAAATCTATACACTACTTTCCTTTTGTACCCTCATTAATTGTCCAATTCACCCATGTTTTCTCTCACTAGAGTACTAAATGGTGCTGTTTTACTAGGCCAAAAGCAATGCAAACTAACTAGGAGTAGTAATTAATAACCCTGTATTGGAAAAGAGAGATAAAAGGGTAAAATTGTGAAAAAATAATTAATGCTGCATGGGGATAGTAAAACGACAGATAAAAGTACTTAAGAGCAAATTTCTTAAACGTCAGTTATAAAAAAAGGGAGGGAGTACATTGCAGCTAATACATCATGCAGTTATGCTTGTGAAAAATTTTGGTGATGTGAGCTCTCCAGTTCCCCGTAACTGAGAAGACAAAGCGGGATTAGAAACATTAATACGAGAGTGAGACTTCTGGTTTGCATCATTAAGTGAAGAGGGCCTATAAATGTTGAATCTAATTTTTCGATTGTACAAAACAACTAAAGAATGCTACCCCTGAATATCTTTGCACTTTCTTTTTGCTCAAATTATATGTAGCTAAAAATGTCTAGTATCCAGAGATCCTTTTTGGCTCCAAGAATTCGGTGCAATCGATGTGAAAAAACTGCCAAAGTCCAGTCCCAAAATCATGTTAAAGTTGATCATGTTGATCGGTTAAGTGCTCTTCCGAATGACCTTCTCTGCCATATCCTTTCCTTTCTTCCAACAAAAAAAGCTGCAGCCACCTCCATCCTATCCACTCGATGGCGTTACCTTTTCACTTCACTTCCCAATATTCATCTGGAATTTGATCACTCTTTACGAGACATTAGAGGTCCCAATTATCAACGATTTGCTCGATTCGTAGATTGTTGTCATCGTTTGATTCTTCAGCGAAAACCGTATTGTTTGAGAAAATTCCATCTTTCCCTGAAAGAGTTTCTTGAGATTTTTCGGGTGGCAATTGACTCTCTGATATGTGCAGCAATTTCCTGTGGAGTCCAACAACTTGAGGTTTTTGTGGGACATGATCGTTCCGGTGCATTGTCTCCTCCGGGAATTTTGTCCTGTCCAGCAATTTTCAGTTGCAAAACAATTGTAGAAATGAAGCTGAAAATTCGCTTTACTGTTTTCTATGTGCCGGAAACAGTTTCTTTGCCGAATCTTAAGGTTCTGCATTTGGCACAATATGTATTGACAGATGAGCTGTCTACTCCCAGGCTCATTCAGGGTTGTCCCGTGCTCATAGAACTGTCTTTCGACTGTTATACATTTCCAGGGATCAAGTTCAGACCCTTTTGATAAAAAGCCCTTCCCTGCAAAAACTCAGCCTCCATTGTATGTCTGATGATGATTGGGACATTGTTCTGGACATCCCCAATGCTGTAAATTTGGAATGCGAGGTTGATGGAGAGAGTAAAACAAGTATAAATGCCCCAAAGCTTCAACATTTGAACTTTGATGGCAATGTAGTTGAAGTAAACATTCTTCCAAACCACAAGTCTCTTGTCGAAGCCAGAATATCAGTTTCTTGCCCATCAGATCAAGAACAATTATTACGCTGTGAGGTTGCCTTTGAGCTTATGAATTGGTCACAAAGTGTGGTATCACTTTATTTGCTGGATACCACGTGGAGGTAGTTTCTTTTCTTTTTTGGTTATTGCATAACTCAAAATTATTTTTGTTATGATTTGTAGAATAACTGGAATTTCGAATTTCCAAGTGGTTATTTGTCTAATCAATTTTCTCATTTCTTCATGAAGTTACTCTTTTATTCTCAAAAGTTGCTGCCAACTTTTGAAAAGCTGACTTATCTTGAGGTTGAAGTCCGCAAATATTATGGTAAGCGCATGCATAGCTGGAAGATGTTATCATGGTTACTTGAAAGTGCACCTAATCTTCAAGTGCTGGTCTTTGATGAAGTGAGTCCAAATGATCTTTTTTTTTCTCACAGCAATGTATTTGATTAGATGTTCCAGTCTGTAACTCTTCTCGAAATGGCAGGTGTTTTGGGATGACAGGATTGAATCCTGTGCTGAAAACGAGAAATTTGAGTTTCTTTCTGCAAGCCTGTTCCATTATGCTTGCCGAAACATCTTAGGGAAGTAAAAATCAGAGAATTCAATGGAAAGGAATATGAATTCAAGCTCATTGACTATATTTTGCAGAATGTGAAAGCTTTAAAAAAGATGACTGTTGGTGTTCTTGGAGGCTTTCGAGATCGCAGGAAAATATTGTCATTGAAGAGATGCAACGACTGCCAGATTGTGTTCACTTAAAAAAAATGTTTGGAGGTCTGCTGGTGAAGCTTCAGGAAAATGTTTGAATAAATTGTGATCAGCCAATGGGGAGTACTTGATGCTGTTCAAGGAAATAACATAATCCAACTCCAGAATAGTTGCTAGTAATAGTGACAAAACGCAGGTTGAAAGCAGTTCTGGATACTGGTAATAGCTAGGGAAGTTACATAACAATGGCAATGTGCAATTTTCATATCTTGCTTTTGGATCGGACATGGAAATCGGGAGCTTGTTAATGACTAGATTTTGTTTGTGATTTTGTTATGTTGAGGTTGATTTTTACTCCGTGTTTAATCGCTTGTAATTTGAGCATATATGGTGATGCAGAACTGTTTATGACTTGAAATGGCTCAAGAATTTCTTGAAGTTATGTATGTTATTGTCCTCTGTCTCCTTTTAGGCCATTTCCATGGTCTAAAAGTCATGAACCATTTGAATTGCCAGAGAAACCTCACAGCAAGCACCGAAGCATGACCAACACTTTATCCCTTATCATCATTTTTAGTTGAAAGAACAATATTTTTGTAACTACAGATGATGATTCTGATCACTTACTTTTTAAGTACTGATGATAATTAGCATCCCTAAATTTCTTTTAAATTCAGTTAAGGAGATAATTGAGGAAGTTTGATCAAGAGCAAGAAAGCAGTTAGTGGTTCTTAGGGGCTCGAGGCCATTGAATTTGACCATAAATATTAACAGCAAGGAGGAGCTCAATGGCCTAAATAATTAATAGAGGGCAGTAAACACAAAGCTGGAAGTCCAACCTGCTATTTCCTAGGTGATATTTGTTACATTTGAAATGAGTTAAAGAAGTAATCAAACAAATCTATGGATATTATTATAGTTATTAGTATTATTTTTACTTCGTCAGAATTGAATTCATTACATAACAAATTGTAGCATACTGCTTTAGTAGATTTTCGTACAACTTGTTATACATTGCATTGTTGTACAAAAGTTTGAATGAAACAATAATGGTAGTCTACTATTCTTGCATGATTTATTTTCTTTTTATCATTAGATTTCTTTTACTTGTAACAAAGTAAATCTAGAAATGACACAGACAAAGAATACTATATAGATAGGTATAAAGACCAGTACCATGAACAATTAACAGTTAAAATTTCTAATATTTTGCATCAGTTGCAAATTTTATTACAGAAAAAATTGATTTTTTTGTTTGTTATTTTTTTAAACATCCATCTTTCACTATACCAAAAGTTGGAATAAATAGGAAAATTATTTTTTTTCATGTGTAGTTACCTCCATGGCAAAGCTTTTCAAATGAGCCCTCGAAGCTTGTTTGGAAAAAAATTAGTTTTTTTTTCATGTCTAGTAATGTCCATGGCAAAAACTGTTCACATGAGTCCTTGACAATTAAAGCTATTTGGAAAAATTAGTTTTAATTATAGTAAAACTTATTATGATATGTATTTGTGAGATAAAAAGGCATTTTGAAAATATAAAAAAATTCGTAGAAACAGGTTTAGAAAAACCTTGAGAAAATCTTTTTAAAAATAGTTTCTATCCATACCATAGTCAGGAAAAATGTACAAATAGTGAGGAAGATTTACAGCATAATATTGCCATGTCGTGACTACAAGAATTTATCTAGGACAAGGGGAAAACTTTAGCATTTCTCGCAACACAAGAAGAAAGGCTCTTGGTAACCGTTTTATTTTAGGCTTAAGTTAAAAAAAAAAAAAGATGACCTAATCTTAGGCAAAAGCTGTAATATAAGCTATTAAAATTGACTTCATAATTGAATTATTTACTAAACAATTATAAAATGAACGTAGTGTAGAGAAAGCGATAATTTTAGAAACCTCGCTTCAGATCTCTAACAATTTCACCGGCCTCTCCTGAGGTTTGTAAAATCACACTTACCTCCCTTGGAGAATTGTGAGCCTAGTTAACTTATATCACATGGGGAGAAATTATTCATATACCCTAAGACATAATGTCTTATTAGAAACTAATATCTAACGATTAAGTAATTAGAGCACTAATTAACTATCAATAACTAATTAATGGAAATAATTGTTGAAAATTTCTTTGATGATGAATGATGACTTGGAATTAGAAAATAATGCCAATTAATGCACCAAATGGCGCTGTTTTGTGATTAATGGAATTGACAATAACCAAAAATCAGTTGTACAGAATGTGAGAAAAAGGGTTTTGATAGAGGGAAAAAACACAAGGCAAAAGAAGGTTATTCACGAGGAAATTTTCTTTGAAACTCCTAAAGTTGTGATAGTTGTAAAGTAATTTCATGGAAATAAAGGAGGCAAAGAAAAGCAAAAATTCAAAATTTTTTGTTCAAAATCACAAGAATCATAGCGAATCTCATGTTAAGAGAGATGACTGATCTATTTTGTTGAATCTTGTGATCATTAGTGTACTTTTGTTGCTTATTTGGGTTGTCTAATTTATGTGAACGTTTAGAGTAAGGAAATGTGCATATTAATTGTGTCTAACTTTTAATTATTTTCATTCTTTTACTAATACAACCTATATACATGTATAAGGAATATTTATGGAATGAAGTTTCATCTCTCTTCTTAAAATACCCTTTTGATGTTACTTTTTTTAACTCGGACAAATTTTGGTACCAAAATCTTAACCTCAGAGGAGGTTTGTGTAATTTTTGCAGACTTCAGAAAAGCTAGTAAAATTCTTAGAAATCAAGGTTTCTGAAATTATTTCGTTGTGAAAGGAATATACTAGACAGTATCAATAGTTTAGTGGCCATTTAGATATTAGCCCTTTTTGTATCATATTTATTTATTAACATTTGGGGAGAAGAGGTGACTAAACCAACCCAACTAATCTAGCTACTGGGTTGCACACTTAACTTCACATTATTTTTAAAGTATCGTAATTCATTGCAATCTATCTTGTTTTCTCTTTTCTTTTCTGGCACTACATATTGTAATTCTGTATTTTTTTATTGTAACTTTTTTTTGCATACATCTATTATTTTTTATCTTTGGCATTCATTATAATTCACATCTAATGTTTTTATTTTTATTGATAAGTGACTATTTTGTGATATATTTGGATGACATTTTATATTACTTTTAGTCACTTTTGTAATATATATAGGAAGAAAATAATCATTTTTTGCTAGAATTGGTTCTAAGTGAAGTCTAATGCTTAATTGAGAATTTGTCCCTTATACTTGCATATTTTTTTATTGTTTTTGTAAGAGTTGGAAATGGACTTCATTTTGAACAAGAAATAAGCTTACACTATGATGATTGAAGTCATAAAGTTTACAAGGATGATGAGTTTCAAGTGTTCGAGTCACTAGAAGAAGAAAATGAAGAAACTTGTCGAAAACGAAAGTCGACTCAATCCCTCCAAACAATCTACCAGTTTTTAGAGGGATTGCTTGGAGGGATTCATGGCAGGAAGTTAAATTGAAGAATTGAAATTTGAACAAAAAACTGGGAATGAATCCCTCCAAGGAATTCGGCCAGATTCTGAAGGGACTGTATGGAGGGATTCTGGTCAACAGTGACAGCTTCCACTTGCGCAACTTGTTTTCACCTCCATTCTTTCACAACTTTTGAGAGACAATTTATAGAAGATTTGTAGATGCAAAATGAAGGTTGTAGAAACAAATCTTGATTTTATTTCTTTCATAATGATGAGCTTTAGCTTTGAGCCAAAATTATTGATATTTGAAGCCAATGTTCACACTTGAAGGAAGACACAAAGAGGAAAGATTTCTCTATAAAAGAATATATGAAAGAAATCAAGGTTTTAAAGGAAGAAATTCATCCACTTCCCACAAATTTTTGGGCCTTAGTGCAATTATACAAAACTTGGGGGGTACAAACGTAAATTTCATTACCATCCTCCAAACTCATACGGAATTAGCAAACTAATGAAGACTCTTAAGTGTTCAACCAGCCAAGAAAACATTCAAAGGAAGCACCATAAAAAAACATTCAATCTTGCATAACGGGTACAACCAAATATTTTGACAAAAAATAAGCATAAAATCATGCAACTTTCAAATACCAACACAAGATTCAAACACCCAAATGCAAGATTTTGGAACCTAACACCAGCTTTTGTGATATGAATCTAAACTAACAAGCTACCCAAAAGGAAGTAAAAAGTAAAAAAATGAAAACATGCAATGACAAAGATGAGACTTTGAATCTCATGTCTAATGAATTAAAATGCAGATCTAGGCTTGTATCCAAAGGAAAACGTGAATGAAGGTTACCTCAGACGCTTGTCAAGCGTGGAAAAGTTCCAGAAAGTGTGCAAATTTCGGAAATGAAAGAATCTCAAGGTGCCGCTACTTGTTTCAAGAGCTGCCAAGGTATCAAATTCAAGCTTGGATTTGAGGGTCTTAGAGTCGTTTTTCTTGAAACCACCCAACACAAAAGTTTCTCCACTACGATCAGAGAAGGTGAGAAAAAAAGAAATCGCCCCAAAGATCTCAGCCAGCAAATTACCAATGAACAGGGTTGTTTGATCAACCCTGGACTTGATTTCTGCAGAAAAAAGTTTCGGGTAGAGAAGTTTGGGCTGAAATTTAAGGGGTTGCTAATGCTATCTGCTAAAATTTTCAATCGAAAGTTATTCAACTATATCCCTAGAAGGTGCAGAAAAAAATAATTACTCTAAAAGGAGGTAAAACCAGAGAGAAAATCGCATTGGAAGGGAGCTGGTGCGCCAGCTCGTTTTCCAGATTTTTTGCAGAAAAACTCTTCTTTTTTTTCTTCTCTGTTTTCCTTTCTTTCTTCTCTCTCTCTCTTTCCCTATCGTTTTTTCTCATTCCCGCTCACCTAAAGCTGCATTCTCAACATTTTTAAATGAGACTAAAACAACAAAACCCTCATCTCAATGGAGAGGATGGAATGGGTTTTGTTGGCTCATTTTGGACCATTTAATGATCTTGTCTCCAGAGGTTTCTTGATAATTCTTGTAGAGATGAGGTGTCTTGTACTAAT